GCTTCATGTTAAGTGTTAGTGAGCTCTCTTCACAGAGTAGGTGGACAGAACAATACCTTTTCTACCTTGATACCAAGGACAATCGTCACAAGTTTCAGGCCCAAAGCATAAACAATGGTGGAATGAAGAGAAAACAAGGATGAGACTTCATAATCTGAAGCTGTACTTGGACAATTAACCCCAATATGCAGATGGACTAAAACTTAGAAGAATGTGAGACTTTGTGATCATTTTTAGGTCCATCTTGGGTGTAGCCCTGGCCAGGCTCCTGTACTGCCCAAGGTGGATCCTTTAAGGCCTTTCAATAATTACCTGCTTTATTCTTAACTCTGTCTAGCCTCTGTCCTAGGTCAGCCTTCTCAAGGCATCACTGTGAACAATAAATTGAACCACATGACCAAGGTCTCTGGAGTACACAAAGCAGGCATCTTGCCCCTCTGCTCACTGCACAGAACATAATGACAGGATGACTTTTCCCAGGTTTTTCTACTTATTTAACCATCCTCCTTTTGCCCAATCAAGACACAATTTGGCTTGTAAAGTGAAGAGCATGGCAAAAGAGGAATATTGTTCACCATATGCAATGAATACAAGTGAATATGGCTGTATTTTAGCTCTACTTATTTTGTTTCATGACTCCCTTGTTCGTTGTAGTTCCTAACCTCCACTTAATGCAAATGCTTCAGACCAAATATTGCTAGGGATGTAATAAGGATCATGAAGGATTATCTGAGGAGAACATCCAAAGAAGCACAGAAAATCTTAAGGATTCAAATAATGCCTCTTCCATCTCAAACTGAAGCAAAATCATGTAAGGTTGATTCAGTTATTGTTTCTACATTTTTCATCAACTGTGATCAAAAACATTTTTAAAATTCAAAAGAGCTACTCTTTCACAATATCCAGACTCAACAGAAGTGATCTGGAGAGAGACAAAAAAACTGCATTGCCTCTGTACCGTATTCCTGATCTGGACCATGAAAGATCAACCAAATCTAGCCCAGTGTCACAAGCATTTCACTCCTATGTAATGTATTCAGCAGTACTACCCATAAACCTAGACAATTTCAACATATAAATCTATAAAAATAGTGGAACAGAATAAATTATTTTTGGTACCAGGCAGAATTTAAAAGTGAAAGTGACAGGATTCTTCAGTTGGGTAATAGGTATCAAATATATAACTTCTTGGCATTAAAGCTTCTGGCCAACCAACCAGTGCTTGATCTCAAGAAAATGAAAATGCACTGAAGCTTAAGAGAGCACTTGAGTAACATCTAACATGGTCAGACAGCCAAAGCATTACAGTCAGAGCTTCCACAGCCTAGTAAATACTTTCATATTTCCTAAAGAGAAGTCTCATAAACTGGCATTGCATTTATTGTTGCAGTGTCCAACAACTATGAAAAATTACTAGTTTCCTGAAAGACAAGAAAACATTGATTTTCCCATTAAGAAATAAATTCTTGGAATGAAAAAAAAAACAATATTGAAAATAAGTCAGTGAGACCAGATTTCATTAACTTATATTTTAAATTGGATTTTTGTTGGCAGAAGTTTTCAGCTTTGAGTTAGGAAATACAAAGATCATATAAGTGGAATTTAAGACACTTGTTGAAGGATGGTTTCTTTGTTATTCAGGCTTAACTTTATCACAATACTATCCCCACATCAGGACTATATTAACCACTGCAGCCATCAGAAATACTTCTAGAAATTAATCCATAAGATGAAGGATTTGTGCGTACAGAGACACAAACATGTAAGGACATGTTTCTTCCAAAGAGAAAACAAATGGGTGCATGGGGCTGTAGGTATATAAAGCCAATCCTTCACATTTAATACTTGTGAAAGAAACAACAAATACTCCCGAGTGTGGCCAAGACTTTGTTAAAAAAAAAAACAAACAAAAAAGAGGTGCTAAAAGTGTCCTAGTTTTGACTTTTAAGCTGCTTTTTTTTGCTGAGCAATAATTGAGATGGTTTTTCATCAAATCACTGCTAAAATTAACACTGTAGGCCAAAAAAAACCTATTTAATCTGGAAATCCATGTCATTTTAACAGATAGAGACTTCCATAAGGGACATGCATGCAAGATACTCAGAACTTCCTGCTTAAGGCCTGGGTTTTGTCAGGGAGAGAAGAAAGAATGGAGAAGAAGAGGAAAGAGCATAAACAAGACAAGAAAAGGAGTTCAGGAAGCTGCAAAGTTTTACCTTAGCTTCAGGATTGGGCATAACACTCACTGTGCAATTAATTAATTCATGGTTTGTGGGTAATATTCTGAAAAAGGAGGTGGTAGGGATATAACTCACAGAATCACAGAACAACAGAAACAATTAAGTTGGAAGTGCCCTCTGATATCATTGGGTCCAACCTATCACAAGAACATCACCACATCAATTAGGTCATGGCACTGAGTGCTACGTCTCACTTTGAGGCAGATTACCTGTCTGGAACACAAAAGGCAGAACTTCACTGTTCTGCATGCAAGAATAAAGCAGCCTTAATGCAGAGCTTCCACTCAGCTCTGAGGGGAAGTGCTGAATGAGTGTTCTTGCCAGATCCTCTTGACTATCTACTTTCCAGGACTGCCTAATGCTTGTCTTCAATTAGAAAAATCTCTTGATATAATTTATGAAGTGGTAATTTTCATCATCAAGATCTTATTTATCTTGTTTCCCCTATCTCCCTCACAAATTTTCACTGGCATCCTCAAAGCTTGAGTCTACCCAGTGGTGTAACACCCAATTTTTGGAAATTTTGGAAAACAAGGTTTTTTGGTTTTGTTTTGTTTTTGTGTTTTTTTTAGCTATGGAATGACAAAACAACATATATGATATAGAATCCTACACAGATATATGTAAAAACACAAAGGAAATTTAATAGTAAGTTAAGAGGGAAAAATAGGAAGACAAGCAAAATAGAACCCTTTTAGCTATTAGTCACACTCTCTGGATGTGAGGATGCAGATCCAGTTCCCATCTCAGCAGAGGAACTGAGCATGCCATTGTCCATTAACTACCACACTCAGAAATATTCCAGAATGCTTTGCTCTCAGTCTACTTCGTTAATTTCACATCCTCAGAATAACTAATTAAATTTCAATGGAACTGGGGCTAAAACCAAGGTTTTCTACTTCTCTAATGATTTATCTATTCCACCCAGAAGGGTAAATTTCTCACTAAGTTTTATGAAGCTACCTAATACACATTGCCATATTTCTTTCCAGCATGTTCAGGATTTCTACTCAGTATATCTGTCCTGAATTCACAAGTAGTTTTGCAAGCAGCAAAGCTACACCAGCTCAGCTAATTTACTGCTTGCTGAATCAAATGGCTGGTGCTATTTGCAACTCCACTGTGTTCCCAGAACTCACTGGGAAAAAGGGGGAAGAGCTGAAGGAAGCAGAACCCATTGTTCATAGGCAGCTTTGCTGCTTTAAGATCACAGTTGCAATTAAGGTGATCAGTTGGGAGATATTCTGACTGCAGATTTTTAATTCTGTAATGAAAAGTAAAGAAATGCCTCTCCCACCAAAGATGTTCACAAATCCTTCTGTGATAGTAATACTACAAATAAAAGAAAAAAAACCCCTATTAATATGTTTTTTTGAGTTCTGACTACAGTTTAAATATTGATTTTTTTTGTTTCAACAGGTCTCTGGCTCCCTGAACAGCATTATGGGATTCTCATTAAAAACACTTCTTTTAAATCACTTGAAAACTCTGCCTCACCCTGGCTGGACCAAGGACTTGAGCTATTAGTTTTGTACAATGAAAGTAACTGATGTTTGTGCAAGTCATTTCTAGTTCCCCTTGGGCAAAGACCACATTGACTTTGTAGCTTTTCCTTTTATTATTACTGAAAAATCAGAGAGCAAATGAGAGAATATAAAACCTGCACAATCTGAATGAGCACTGTTTCTAATCTAAATTATATTTAATATTCCAGTGCTTGGTATCCCATGTAATTTGTTAAATGTTAAGGCGAATGTAGCACAATAATGAAAATACTAGCAAAAAATATCACAGCAAAAAGAAATAGCAACATACACTCTCAGATCCTAAACTGTCAATTTTATAAGTATAGCAGTAGTAATCCTTTATATAGTTAGGGCATGACCTGAAAGAACTCAAGGGACTATGCATAAAAGGAAAATGTTCTTTTAAAAAATCTTCTATTCCATGAAATAAAAGTTCATCTGCCATGACAGAAGCACATTTTGGAACACATGAGATATCACCAAAATTTGTACTTTGTTACAATGGTGAAGAGAAATAAAGCATAATAGTATTTGTAATAAGAATGTTAGACATTCACTGTATCTGTGGAGTAAGTAATCAAACCCTAGAATGAACTACCAGTTGGATTTTAAAAAACTAAAAGAAAACATGCAACTTCTAGAAAATTAAAGGTAATAAAATTATAACATCACTACAAAGGTGAATAATCTCAGATGAAAAAACATATGAGCTTTAAAAACTCACTAATAAGTTAATTGACAGCATTTTGTTATACAGCACAGTAACTTCTCTGTTTCAGGCAAATAGGTATTTTCAATCAGTAACATTTCACCTTATATTTAAAATGCATACACTTTTTGAAAGAGAATATGTGCACAAATAAATACACTGATTCATGGACACATGCACCATTTCTGTTGTTTATGTACATTATATCCACTCCATGTTCTGTTATTTTAAATTCTTCTGTAGAGATTACACATTATGCTCTGAAAATCTACAGCCATCAAAAAGTAAATAAATAGCTTTATCCAGCTGGACATTACAAATATATTAACCTCACACAGCTTATGTAAATACAGACAAAGACATGCTTGTGTATTCATTAAAAAAACTACAGCTTTTGTATTTGAATTAATCTTGCTAGCAAGAAGCATATAAGGGGCTGCACCACCCTTCTGCATGGCATCCTATGTAAATGAGTCCAGTGCATTTATAAATATGGATGTGGTAGACCCCCAAACAACACAGTACCTGCTGTCTATCCAACCGCATCCTTTTTGCAGCATTTCTGCTTTCACTCTCACAGGCGGAAGCCAGGATACTCTCTGCAACTGCTGAAGTAAGGTGTGAGGGAATAGGTCGTGACTATGAAAGAGAAAAAGAAACACAGAAATTATTCCTAGCGTAATCCACAACATCCTTTTTCAAAGCACACCATACCATCACCTAGGCAGGAAAGTCCGCTCATTGAAATGCAGTTTATACCAACAAAACAGGGAAATGGAACTTGCAAAGATGAAAAATGAAACTAGTTAGATGTTAAAGCCGCAGCTGATCCACAGATCCACGAGAAGCCCTTTCCCCCCACAGCTCTATTGTCCAGTGTGTTTAGTCTGGCTCATTAAGCTGTACTTTGAACAGACAGTGGCATATTCTCTGCGTTCCAGCAGCACCCTGGCCGTCTGATTCTTGTTAAGAAAACTGAAAGGCTTTTTATCCTGTGCAGCATGTGACAGAGATGAGTAGTGTTTTTTATAGTCATACAAAAAAAAAAAAATAGAGAAGAAAAAAAACCAACAAAAAAAAAACCACCACCCAAGTGATAGGGTTGAAACATCACTCAAAACCTAACAGATTGTCAGAACATTGCAGAGCAGCCTCAATCTGTAGTATATGAATATTTGCATTCCTTGCTACAACATGACTGATGTGATTAAAACGACTTTAAAAAAAAAATAAATTTGTTTTTCTTTCGATAATGCCAGCCTTGCAACACTCCAGATATTTTGTGGTTCAACTAGATATGGTTCATTTTTCCAATTCAAATCCTATCATTACTAATTTCATAGCTTTTACACATTTAAGGTTAAAGCTGCAGTGAATCCCCCCCAAAAAGGTAATAATAGAATCTTTTTAGCATCATTGTTGATTATGAACTCCAGTATGATTTTGCATACCATTTCATTAGGAAGCATATTTATGCAGCTTTTTTTTTTTTCTTGATTACATACAAAACAATCTTCCTGAAAGATGAAGCTCATAATAATCTTCTTCATTAATATACAAAGCCATATCAGAATTACCAAGAAAATAAACAAAGTGGGGATAATAACAGAGATAATATGATGTACATATAAGCCCATTACAGAGACTGCAATTTTCTGGGCCCAGTTCTGAACTTCCACAAATTTTCAAAGCTTCATTGAACTCGATTTTACATTTACTACGTAAATTTTTACCTACTGAGGACGTGGCCATATGTAAGGGGATTTGGGTGTGTTTTTTGCTTGTTGAGTATTTTTTGTTTTGTTTTTGGGATTTTGGGTTTCAGGGCTTTGATTTGGGGGGGGGGGGGGGGGGGGGGTTTTTTTGGTTTTTTTTTTTAAGAGTTTTACTTTCCCACTCCCAGAAACATGGATATGAACCTGCTACAAAATGTCAATTAATTTTGGAAGAAAATTTTGAAGTTATTCCCATTCATGTCCTAGCAAACAACCTTAAAACAGATTAATTATATAGGCTCAACAGATTTTTTTTGTTTTCATAACATTCCAGAAACTGAGGAGCCAGCCATTATCAATATTAGATTTTTACCTTTAAAAATTAAAGCCCATTTATTGACTTTGGATATGCTCTGCAGAATGCCAATTTTAAATCTAACACTCTACTTTCTCTAAAGCATGGGACCACAGTCTGTCTGGGACCAGAAGATGAACTAGCTTTCAGAAACAGGGATTTATGGGTCTTCCTCACTAGTGCAATAGGCTTATTTCCCCCCAGTTACATGGGAACAAGGTCTGTGGCATCAGCAAAGCAGCATTGCAAGAAAGGCAACCAGAGGCTGCAGTACTGCAATAAATTACACTTGGATTGATTTGAGAGAACAAACTGTTGAACTTGTTTCCAGTTTGAAAACAACTCTGTCTAGGAGATGAGGGACACTGATGTAAACCCCGGTGCCATGACAGAAGTTAACATTACATACAGTACAAGCAGACACCCTACTCAGAGCTCCAGGGGATGAAGTAAGTCTTTGTGGAAGGGTTTCACTGGTAAAGCATTCTATTTAATAAACTGCATCCCTAAAATGGTGATATTATTCTGAATTTGTTACTGCATCCCACTGGATCCCTCTCTGTATTTTCTGGCCATGTACCACTGCACATGCCACTGGCTTATGTAGGTTCAAGGTGCACTGACTCTGTTGGCTGCATGGAAATCTCACTGTGGTCCTGTAACAGTGATGTTCACACAATGATACTCTCAATAAATGGTGAGCAAACACCTGGTTCATTCCTCCAGCTCAGGTCTTTAGCTAAACCTGTAACTATACCTACACATCACTGGGTTTTTAGAAGCTGATATATGATCTGAAAAACCTAATGTTCTGACCAAAAAGTAAATTGAACACCAGTTCTCCCAGTTTATTTGTTTATGGAAGAGAATAGTGTTTTATAAAACAAAAAAATAAACTGTTATGATAAAAATCAAGCAGTTCTCTTTTCTCAGAAAAGGAGTGTAGTGGTCATGTGCTCCCTATTGAAATATTGAACTCAAGTTAGCACCTGCAAAAAAGAGGAAATCTCTGGATACTGGAGTATCTTCCTCTTGAAACACGTGTTAACCCACAATTTCTCTCAATCATCACTGCAGCTGGCTGTTGATATGTTCATGTCAAGAACTACCTACAGTGAACGTTAGGGAAAATATGATGAATACATGGCCCAGTCACCTGAGTAAAGTACTGTAACAAAGCACAGGAGAAAAATCATCTGCTCAGGGTTCAGGGTTCAGGCTCTATCAACAGAGCTCTGGTATGGAATTGACTGAGAAGATGAACACAGTCCTCTGTCACTAGGAGCAGAGCTGTTAAAAAGGAGATTTTCTGCTTCGCAAAATTCCATATCTGTAAAGTGTCAAAAAGATCAATTTTGAAAAGCCTTGGCTAAGAGGAAAAATTACTTTGAAATAACCACTTCAAAAAATTGTTTTTAAATAAACTGAATTAATATCTCCATCTTCTAAGCTCGGAAGCCTCTTTCTGGCTTAGTTCAGCTTCCTTTTCCTCCCTACTTCTGATTATTCATGATCTCTCTCATAACTACAGCTGTAAAACCAATTCTGTAAGAAGCTCAAACGTCCCTGTTGGGTTCTGAACATTGCTCAATTCCCAAGCTGAGGATGACATTCAAAAGCCTTGGAAAACATGACAAGTGATATAATTTAATTTTGCAGAAGGAAGCCTGCAGATCCCAGCAAAAAGGACATTTTTCAGGTTCCCAGGATGCTCTCTGCAGAGCTGAGTGCTGGATCCTACATGTTTGGAATTACAGCAGGAAATGTGGGAGCCAAGGAGAACTTCTTCCAAGGGTTCCCAGGCTGCCCCCACAATCCCTGGATCCACAACCTGCCCACTGAACTAGCATAAAACCAGGTTTCATTTTATGTCAATATAGAAAACCCTTGGCAAACTAACATCTCTTAAAGGAAAAAAAAAAAAAAAAAAAAAAAAAAAGGCATTACCAAAAAATTCCCAACCAGCTTTAGCCAGTTTAGAATGTGCCTAGTGTTGTTTGAGGCAGCCCCAGTCTGGTATTTCTCTCACTTCACAGTGATGTAAAGCAGGAAATACTGGAACTACCAATATGTAAAACAAAAGAAAAGAAGAAATCCTGTAAACTTAATCTACCAAAAGTAGCAAATCACAAGGCAGGATAACATTTTTGTCATTTTGAACCAAGGACAGATAGAAAAGACATGTGAAAATTTTATAGTAACTCTCAGGTGACAAGACGAATAAAAGAAGAAATCTGGTGAATAGTGCAATACAGACCTTCTGAGAAGACTGTATGTCCATCACACAAAAGCAGTGTACAGAATTGCTTTGTATTTACTTGGAAACATGATAGTGCTCATGACTGCACTAAAGCAGAAGTCCCGTTTTGAACACACATCCAATTTTGGTTTTTTATATTTCCTCAGCTGACACACAACTAACATCCAGCCCCTAACACAACATAGGTAAAGGGCATTTTGATAAACAATGTAAGGAAAACCTGCTAGATTGCATGTGCACAGGGATGCCTTCTGAAGTGACTGACATTTAGGAAGTGGTTGGAATTCCCTCAGTAACCCATGGGAGATGACCAACCACCTGCAGTCCTCTCATATGTGAAACTGTTTTGAAACCACCAGAGAGCCTATAGATGACAACAATGACAACAAAGCAATATGCACACTTAAGTAACTTTTGGGATATGCACTTTTACATGCTTTTATGAGAAACAATTTTTTGTTCAGATTGGCTTGAACTTTTTATACACTCATCCCTTTTTCTCTTTCTGAAGAGTTTATAAATCATTGATAGATATACTTTTGCAAGCTGCCTAATGGAAATTCAAATTAGTCAATAATTCTTTCTAGTCTAATAAGTGCTGTTTTTCCTTAAAGTATGTTAAATCTAATGAAGACACTTTCATGAGTTTGATGCTCCTTAGATCTGGGTATCAACAATCAAAGCATCTTGCAATAAGCCTTTCTGGAGTTATAGAGTAGTCCTGCAAGGCTGCTGATTTTTAGTAGTTGAAATCAGAAATCCTTGGCCCAGTTCATCTAGAAATTAGCTCTCTTAGTATAATCTCTGACTCTTTAACAAAGGAGAGACTAGCATGTTCAATATGGTGTAAAATATGCATTTTCAATATAACAACTGTATGCAGCATCATCAAGTCTGCTGTTAAAATGCGGTACCTTTGTAGTATCTTCATGTGAAACACCAAATACCTTTTCTGGCATAGTCACATCATTCCTTTATTTCTACACAGGATCTAAAAAGACTTCCATGTTTTACTTTCTTTTGTACATTTCTGGCATAAATTTACCAATTATTGGTATACTAGATAACTAAGTATATTTCAGTCTAAACCACTAGGAGCAGTATATTCACTAAAAAGAATTTTACAATTTACTGTGCATGCTGTCCACCCGTGGTTAGACATCCATCATCTCTAAAGTTACTTGGCATGTTTTTTGAGATCCAGTATAAATAAAAGCCAAAGTTGTCATACAAAAAGTTTGGTTTACATACTTTTACATGTTACATCAGTCTGGCTCAGCTCTGAAAAAATAGAGTTATCTGTTTAGTC